AAATAAATATTGATGAAGATTAAGAATTTTGCGTTTGTACATTGTGACCGGAAACTTTTCGGTCACAATGTAGTATCTGTCAATCAGGCACTGCTACCAACTAACCATGTTCACTTTACTTGCTCACCAATTACTTTAGTGAGTTATTTTTGCAATTATGATGTCTTATAATCATATAGAAGTTGATTTTTTCCAGATTAATTTGTGAGCTATTCGTAATTTACTGAGATGGCATGGGTTAGGTTAAGTTGGAGAGACAGCCTTGTGCTCTAAAGCTCACTATGATAGAGTATTTTCTATATTTTCTATACTATTTTATACTATTCTATACTTTTTTCTATACTATTTCTATATTTTAAGATAGTATATATCCATACTATTTAAAGCTATCCATACTTTTAAAAATATATTATTTATTTAGTAGAATAATATGCTTCTTTTTTTACCGTACATAAATCTACGTAATTATTTTGGTATATAAGGGCGGTTTGATAAGTCAGTGACTTTTTGATATTCCGGCTCAGTTACTCCAACCTCGTGAATTTTTACGAAAATGGAAAAAAGTGAATTTCGTGTGCTGATTAAGCATTCGTGGCCAAAATCCACGAATTGGGATACGAACTGCTACCCCATCCAGCATATTCTCCAGCCCTCGGCGACTATTTTCTGTTTTCAAACATAAAGAAGTGGCTAGGCGGTATGAGCTTTGAGAAAACCTATTATTTGGAGGGAATAAGAAAATTAGAAAAACGCTGGACTAAATGTATCGAATTAAAAGGCGATTATGTAGAAAAATAAAATGTTTATTTGCCGAAAAAATTTGTTTTATTCAAAAAGTCACTGACTTATCCAACCGCCCTCGTATACATTGTTAGATTTTCTGAAGATGACCATATGAAATGTCACGATTATAAATTTAAATATGTAGTTATGCATCTGTTAAGTTAATTGTGGTAGTTATTATTTTACAAATAATTCTTATAATTTTTTCTTATACACAAAATGAATAAATTCTAAATTTAAATACAAAATTTTAGAGCGACTTTCTTTTCTTTTGTTAACTTTATATAAAAGTTTTCAATTACAACAAAGGATACTGACAGTTGTTTACAGATTATTTTATTTTTGGAATTTATCTTCTATATATCAGTCGCGAAAGTCAGAATAAGTTTTTTTATTTTTCTTTTCTTGCAATGCCAAATAAAGTTACAAAGTTTCAAGACTTCTAATTCCAGAAATATATTGCATACATGGAGAAACACATACAAAGCGTAATAAACTCAAGTACTGCGTAACAGATGTTGTAGACATATTTACGAAATTAGTTTTAATAAAGATATAAACTTTTTCTAAATTAAAATGAAAATTGTCTTAATGAAAAGTTACGTTTAACAGGGACAAAGAACGAGGAAATAAAAAGTTGCTGAAGTGCTGTGTGTAAAGAATAACATTTTGCTCTTTACTCTCTACTGCTTTCAAAATATCACTATTGGCTTTAAAACACCTTTTACATTGGTAATTGATGATCGGAATGTCATCAAATTTGATAAATATAATATATATCATATGGGTACGCCGGTATGAACTTTAACTGTTATTATCATTATGTCAGGATTAACAACTTAACAAATAAAGGCATGATATATATATAGTTAACATGGATATTGCTGTGTCTTAAATGTCTTTCACTTTTTTCTGTTATCCTTATGTTAGGATAGGGCCTTAGCAATTCTTTTGTATCCAACTTTGTATAATGTTTCCCGGTAGATGTCTTTTCAACTACAATTTTTCTCTGCAGTTTTAGTTGGCACTCAAAAGGTGGCGAGTCTCATGTTATCCCATGAATTTTTCGTTAGGCCTATGAAGGTTTTGATCAAACGACATTTACGGCTACAGAAAAATAGTCGTTTAATAGCTCTAACAAAAAAAAAAAATATGTGCGATTTCTGTATTCTAAGTTAATATAAAAAACAATATTACTTTATTCCAAGTTTTAATTACGAATGTCATATCATATTATCATGAGCGAAAATTTTTTAATTAAACCTCTGCATATTGTGGTGGTCAATCAAGTTCCATTTGCGGTTTCAAATAAGAATTTTTTTGTAGTTTTATCAAAAAACAAAAAATTACGTGGAAACTAATTAATTTCAATAAAGTTAATATGGCTTGTTTTGTACTTAAATTAATACAAGAACTAACTAACTACAAATAAATTGGTTTTTTTTTTTCAAAATCAGAATATTTATTTATTGTAAAAAGATTTTCTATTTGCCGTGGTAAAGACTGTGCTTATTTGCACTAATTAACTACTGCATGTATTTATACAATTCTTATAAAAAAAAAGTATCTATATTCATTACAGTTTCCAGGCACACAATTATTTCATCTGTCGGTAAGAATAACAATAAATACCCAGCTATTTTTTTTATTAACTAGTTCCGCTCTTCTACGAATGAGTATACTAGTTTAGCTTAAATAGCTGCACTGCATTAATTAATTTCAACATTTTACAACACAGTAACATACCTCAAGGCTAAGAACTAAGTTTCCGGCTTGTCAACACTTTTATCCCATAGCGCAGCTGACACATATAGTAAGCATATAGTGTGCATACATTTCCATACATAAATCTTTTTAATTATTTATTTCTAGTTTTACCGAGTCACAAGCCAAGTAACTTTTATATATTGATGTGTCATACTATGTCACAGTGACATACACAGTATATAAGTATAGTAATGCGCCTTAAAGTATGCTATATAAAAGCAAACTTTTTCTATTAAATTTTATTTAAAGCTAGTGAATTTTTTTTAACTTCTCAGTTCAACACTTTAATGTAGGTTTTTGTTTTGTTAATAAAATAAGAGCTCAACTCATTTATTTTAATACATTTACACACACTCATACATATTTAAAGTATCCTTGTAACCCAAAAAACATAAAAGCCAAATAAATATGTGCACGCAACACACATTTCAAAAGGCACAAATAAATTTAAAGACATTGCATCCTTACTGCATTCAACCGAAAACTCACAAGTCACTTCATTCAACCAAAAAAGAAAACTTACAGATACTAGACGACTTGTTTGTGGGCACAGGAATTCAGTAAAAAATTTCGAATAGATGTGTAGTTACTAAAAAGTAACAAAAGCAAATATTTTAGCTTTCCTATTTGTAGTTTGTAGTTTGGCTATGAATACTTGAAATGTGTATCTTTGAGTGTCCCTTGCAATCTAAGCTTTTAGCTTTCTGTTTTATGCTGTTTAGTTAAACACAAACTACTAAGAAGAACTAGTAAAGATGCGGAAGTAGATTTTATTTTTGTGCAAAAAAAAGTATTTTTTCATATGCGGGTATTTGTGTC